AACGGGACTTTTATCTGCGCATTGCTTTTCAACGTTCTAAAACATCGAAATACTTGCAACTACAAAGAACCCTTTGCTCGTGATTTGCTCGAGACACTGGACATTGCAGGCCACAAGGACAAGTGTGTCAACTGCCCTTCCCCCCCATCACCATCCGTAATAAAGAAAATCAATATCTCCGGTGTACCATTGCCACTTGATTGATAGCTTGTTTCTCGGCGGGCTATATGAAAAGTTGGTTGTGTGTGTAAATTTTGTAAGACGATTGTGTTTTACAGTTGGTTCGAATTTTATATATTTATTTTACAGTATAAGTTAATAGGGTTTATATATGAATTTGTATGTTGACACGACCTGTGAAGTGGAAGAGGAAGCGTCAAAGAAATAAAAACAAAGTTTCTTCACTAAAGCAAGTTGATAAACATGCTGGTTTATTCTCTCCATTTAATTCCACTTCCTACACAAGTTTCTGCTGACCGATACTAACTATTGAGTTATTCAGTTACAAAGAATATAGTACAGAATATTTTCAGAAACGTTTTTTTCTGCAACAAGGTTTCCGTAACATTCAACCGTGCCAAAAATGATTTTTTTTATTTTGACAAAACTGACACGTACTTCGATAGTCAAACGGTAAAAATTGACACTACATATGGCATAAGACATATTCAATACAATAAACAATGTCTACAAACTATGTCGATCAAAGTCTGTGCACCAGAACACCCAACTGCTAAACCAACGACCACAAATATTTAATGTTATTGAAAAAGGGTTCAATAGGCCCTTTTAAAATCATATTAGACCCTATTTCCTAGTTAAATCTGACTGTTTTATAAAATGCTTAGCATTCTTGGTTTTTATCGTTCTTACTGTTTCAAGTGTTCTGCATATCCTTTGCCCTGTCAAAACATGTATGGGGTTCGAGAACGTTTGAGGTATTCTTATAAACTTTTTTGATCAATCACCCTCCAAAATGATAAAAACATAAAAATACAGTGCTAAACCTGCACCAATGTCATGTAAAAGCGGATGTTAAATTTTATTTTGTTTAAAGCACTGATCGGCTTGATAGACGTTTCTAGTTGCTGTCAGCACTGGGACTTAGATTTTCATATGTGCGCACACGATCCAAGTCATTCTATCATACGTCTTCATATTTCAGCAATTTAATCACAAAAGATAGGTCGCCTGAGTTTTAAACGTCTACTCTGACATATCTGACATTCTTTTTGTTCAAGTTGCACTAGGTTTGAGCACTTCGTCAAATACGTGATTACCCTGGGACCGGGCTGAATATTACATTTTCATTGTCGGTGCAATGCTGATTTTTCTTTTATGACGTAGGATTTAGTTCCGCTGAATTCTATGACAGGGTACCGAAGTTCCATGCTTTATTTCTTTGCAGACAACATTCTCACTCTAGCCGACTATGCTTTCATTTTATGCTACGTCATTAGACGGTAGCAGTCACCTGAGACGTCTGTCGTCACTATCATCATCGCTGTTTCGAATCGCTGCCATGGGCCACCGTATAATGTCCGGCCAGCGTCTGCAGTAACAGTCTGGGGCGCTTCTCAGAAAATCGCATCCTAAAGTTCCGCATTTCATGGCTCTTACACTCTAAAAAAAAAGGGAGCGTGGCTTAGTACCTCGGGGGACCAAATGCGGTGCCACTACCATTAGTCCCCTATGGGAGCAACTGTAAAGGGAGCAACTGCTGCGCCCCGTCCGTTAGTCCCTCGCACTTGCACCGTTGGGACTAACGGTTACACCGTTTCAGTTGCACCTCGAGGATCAGCTGTTAGGCCCTTGCACTTTGTCCTTTGGGACCAACTGTTACACCGTTTCAACAATAACCTCGAGGACGAACTGTTAGGCCCTTGCGCTTGGTCCCCAGGGACTAACTGTTAGGCCTTGCGCTTGGTCCCCTGGGACTAACTGTTACACCGTTTCAAATGAACCCCGAGGACCAACTGTTAGGCCCTTGCACTTGGACCTCTGGGTCTAAACGTTGCGCCCTTGGATTTAGACACCTGGGACTAAAGGTTTATCCTTTACATTTGGTCCCGAGCCACAAATCTCCGAAGCGAAATTGTGCAGTTCAGGTTAAACCTAACTTTATTGCCTCTTAGATACACATCGCATTCAAGGATGACTGAAGTCGAAGTTCCTGAACGGTAGAATTCACAATAGAGCCAAATTCCGAAGAGTGCACTTGCGTCGACGATGGCTTGAACACTGGGAGGTCTGTCCGAACCGGTCGTGGTCCAAGCACCATTTATTGGGGCACCGGCAGCTTCTTGTCTGTTTGCGAGGACTTTGGATTATTAGCAACAGGGGCAGTGTGAAATACCCGATCACTCAACAAAAATCTGAGATATGACACACACATAATAAAATAACAAATAGGCTCCAAAAGTGCTACAATGGTTCATATCTAACATGCGATCTGTTGACAGCTGACCAGCTCAATATTACATCTTTAGTAGACCGTTCGCTGCGAATTACAGACCCAGCGAGTGCGTGCTCAAACTATGCTTCAAAGTGACGGAACGAGCTCCCGCCATCAACGCGAAAGTCTGTACAATCGAATAAATGTATTCATTAAGGCCTGTTCTCACACGCAGCGAAGTGCTGAAGTAGTGCTGCTCACGTGTTTGAGCTGCTTTTCGTCTGCCATGAGCAACAGTTTTGACGGTGTGATACGAAGCTGGGGAAAGCTCCCGTCAGCACGTGCTTAGCGCTAGGTCAGTGCTATCCTTGTAGCTCTCTGCTGCATGTGTGAACAGGCTTTTATGGTAGAGCGATCCTGCCAGGGTCTGCAAAACACACCCACACACCCACACACACACACACACACACAAAAAAAAGCCATCGGTATAACTGGCGTTTTGCTCGGTACTATTGAATATCGGGTCTCTGTGCTGCATAACAAGATAAGCAACCATGGTGCCAAAAATAATAGAGCATGGCGTGCGCTTTGGTTCTCACGCTGCCCAGTTACAAGCTGGACCGCAAGCTGGGAGACTCCAAGGCCCGCTTTCGTAAAGACCGCCGCGTGGCCAACACCGGCGCCATCCCCTGCTGGAGTGCTGGACTCCCTGCGCCTCCGGTAATTCGGCCGGCTCGTATGCAAGTATGGCACGCGAAGAGCCCTCTCCAGGCGCTTGAGACCGGCCTGCCAGAAGTAAGCAGCCCATGGCAGCACCGCGAAGACCATCACCGCGAAGATTGCTGCTACACTCTAATCATGGTAACCTTTAACGTAACTTTTAGTAGTGAGTAACCTATAAAATAAAGGTTACAAGTCGTTTATTTTCGTGTTTTCGTTATTCTTGCGGTGACTAAAGGTTACAACAGCCAAAATATGACGATGCAAAGGTTACCATGAGAATTAGAGCCATGTAACTTTTGTGCAGTAACGCATGAATAACGTAGTAACGGACTCCCGTCCGAAAAAAAAAAAAGAAAACATCGCCTGATGAGAGTCCCTCTATACTTCTTTCGCGTTAAAACTAAAACTATAAAAATGAAACCTCGGAGCCTTTGGTGGCCTTGTCGACGCGCTCCTCTGCTGTTTCCCTCTCCTGGTGAAAGAGGGACTCTCATCAGGCGATGTTTTCTTTTTTTTTTTTTCGGACGCCTTGCTGGCAGCATTCTTTCGCAATAAAAAGAAGAGCAAAGAAGAACAATGGCTGTGAAAGCCTGAGTTGCTTAGCGGTGTTGCATGCTGGGAAGTCAGTACGGCGGGAATGAGTGACCGCTGTCGCGGCTGTCTCGCGTGCGCCCGGGCCGTTTGAGCGCCATTTTTTGGCGGCACATTTCTTGCGCCAATACTCTGTTCGGAGCGAGTTGGAAGACTCTCGGTATGTTTCGACAAACCACGGAAGTAGTTATGTCGCTAACCAGCAGGGACATGTGTGGTGTACTGCGCGGCAGTTGCAGGGAGCCTTTGTGTGACTGTCAGCGCTACGTCGTCGTGTGCCCATCAGACGAAAGCGCGGCAAAGATTCGTTGTGAGTTCTGCAATCACTGCCCAAGCATTCACGGAAGAATCACCGATTTGGGTAAGTGACGTTTCTTCCTAGCGGAACCGTTGCAGTAGCGACGTGCGAGCTCTCATTTTCAAAGCTCGTTATTTGTGTGCATTTAGGACCAAAATGATCCTGAGCCGTTTTATACGAGCGCATGTCTGTCCTCGTGGCACTCTGTGTCAATTTAGCTCTTTTTATGTGTAATGCCTGTAGATGAGCCCTGCCGTAGCTGTCTAGTATCGTCAGTGAACGGTGTGGTGGTAATGCACGACTAATTACTGCCTATTTACATGCTTGCGCGCGCGGTGGGGATATGCGTGCTTTTGTGCATTTTACATAGGCGCAAGCTTGCAATGCACTGCTGCGGTATTATTATTTTTGGTAACTGAATTTCGTAACTCTGTACGTCTTATCACTCCTTGCGGAATGGCTTTTGCACCGAAACTTTTCGCACTACGTTCAGGGTACAAGAAAATATTTAATGTGTGGCATGCAGAATTGATATAGGCATATATCCCTGTTTTAGTCAAGAAATAAAACATCCTGCTCGTTTAAGGTGTGGTGCAGAATGAACGGTGTAGGACAAACAATTATCTCGTTTTGTTGTGCAATTATTCCGTCACGTTTATTTATTTATTTTTATTCTACCAATAGGTGACACAGAGCAAGGACTTACTGTGCCACCTATTCCACCAATAGTTGGCACAGGAATAAATAGACCGAGTGAAGTGCAACAGCCGTATCATCCTGATTGTTGGAAAGGTTGGTGGGCGCAACATGCTCGCAAATATATATTAAAAAATCCCGTTATTTTACTGAAAGTCGCGCCTTAATAGCCAATCACTGTGTCCTAAATGAACCGCTAGTTCGATGCAGATTTTTTTTTTTTTTATTGCTTTCTGATTTTTAAGTTTACATTTTACCGGTACGATAATAATTTACCACTAATTACTGCCAGATCACATGCCTTTGAGAAAAGTGGTACCGTGCATGCTTCTAATGCTTGATTTACGCAACCCTTCAGTGTATCGCTATATAAGTGTTCAAGACGTAAGTTCTAGAATTCAGTTCATATTTTCGATGCTTATGGGCTTGTTTATGCATGACAAGTTCTTGGTGCTGTATTCCGCGCACGAGGAAAATATTTCTTGCTTGGCTACAGAATGGATGTTTAACATGCAATCCAGCCTGCTCGACTGAGTCATCAGTGCAGCATCGGCGGCGTGAAGCAACCAATAGTAAAGTAGTGCAATTTCCCGCTTTTCTTCAGGGATGTCTGATTTGCAATTAATGACTGATTTTACTTCCTTGTACCAACTTTTCTCAGCTCTGCATTGAAGTCGAACTCCGATTTAAGCGCAAGGTTGGGGACCTGGAGAAAAAGGTGAAAGTGGTGGTGGAAGCGTTTTCACATAAAGAAGAACGGGAATGCACATTCGTCGACATTGGCAAGCATTTACAAGGCCATTCTAGGCACACACTCATCAACGAGGTTTGTGGAATTATTTTCATGCATCCATCTATTAGTTTTTGTGACATCCAGTGCATTTTTGTGCTTTAACATTCATTTAAATGAAGGTTAAGTGATATCTAAATGCTCTTCCAAAGACTGTTTTGTGCGACACTTATTTCACTTATGCGGGGAACTTTGTTGATTACTGGATGCCCATGGAATATAATCTGCCATTCCACAGAATGCAATGCCTAATAACCTGCAAGTCACAGCACCTCATGTGTATATATACTGCGCTGAACGCACTTGCGTTTATGCTGGCAGTACTGAAGAAGTCATCTGGATCTCGGGTGGAAATCTAGAGCGAGCTCTGATTTTCTGCCTGCTGACGTACTACATTAAGAACCTTGACTACCCACCAGCGTTCTCATCGGTGCTCGTCTTACTGCAGAAGATAACTCTACCTGACACAAAAGTGCCCCGTGGACTGCTCACGAACCGGCTGAAAAATTTGCTCATTATGTTGAAGAAGAACAATTTGTGTTAACTTTTCGAAAGCAAATGCCATTAAAAATAGGTTGCGTCCTGAGATGGGGAAGTAAATGTCGTCTGGTTCCTTGACTTCTTTCTTCTGAATCGCAGAATGCTTTTTCTTGTCTTGCAGTGAATGTTGTCATTTTTAAAGTGCCGTTCACTTTAAGTTCACCTTATTCTACCGAATCATGGTTTAGGTTTTACTAACAGGTTCATGTGTTATAATATAGGGTAAGAGACCATAAAAAAATTAACAACTCTATAGCTCATACACTTGTGTTTTCCGTGCTGCCTATATATCCATTTCAGAGCTCTTATTATAGTTTCCCTTTAACAACTGTGATGTACTTTATAGTTACAGTTTTGAATTATTTTTTAGCACTTGTATTTTATGTTCATTATGTCTATCGTACAGCAGCTAAACAGTGTTTACACATCGTTTTACATAAGTCTTTTTTTTTTCCTGTTCGGTTCTGTTGTACGAGTGCCAGTGTGGTTTCGTAACTATAGATGTAAAGGCCATGCTGGTTAAGCCGAAGCTTCTGTCGAAGTGAGCTTTAACGTGAGTTTATTTGCTTTCTTTAAGCGAATTTTCAACTTTTTTTGTGTGCGGCTAGCACTGATATAATATGGCCTTAGATTCTAAAGTGCTTTGTACACCGTTCAACAGCGCTCTTTGTGATGCATATATGCTACGATACCTGCTAACCGCTTACGATAATAGTGCCTTTACATTATGGACGTAATTTATATTACAGCTTTTTATTGATGTATCCCAGACTCGGGAATTTGTGATTATGTATATTGTGATACTTCGGAATCAATTGCCGTTTTTGTATATTACAGTATTGTTTTTTGTTCTCTAGTTTTTCACTATTTTATGGGTTGTCCTATTTTTGTACGGGTCAAATCACAATCGAGCAGGATGCTTTTTGTGAATTTTCGCCAAAAATGCCATTTTTAATAAAAGGATTTCTTATATAAGCTGTTGCTTCACTCAAAGGTTACACGAACACATGGAAGTTACCTATAACTTTCTGGCGGGCAGATACCTTTATAAAGGTTACAATGCTAACGAGATCGTAACCTTTCTATAAGTAAATTAGAGGTAACCTTTGCCACTGTAACTTTTACAAAAGTTACATTAGCATAGGTTACATTTGTGTAACCTTTAACTTATAGGTGCACAAAGATGTGAAAACGTGCACCTTTACAAAGGTTACCATGATTAGAGTGTCTAACACACCATATCATAATCACCATCACTTTCATCTGTACATTACATCATCACATAATCACTATCACTAGACACGGCACCGCGGGCCTCCTTGGTACGGGCTTTTGCCTTTCAGCGGTGCCGCGGCTCTCCTGACAAAATAAAACATTATTATTATTATTATTATTAGAAGGCGCTGAAAATAAAACGCTTTCTGAAGCCGCAGGTAATGAATATACCATTAACAGAAGTACTTTGACATACCTGAATCGAGTTCCCTTTTCTTGTGACTTCAGAACAGATCAAGTGCAGTGTTGCAGCACCGCGAATCCAAACGGGATCCCGAAATGATGGGAGACGACTTCACCAACTTTACCAACGCGCCCACGTCGAACCCAGCTTCTAAGTTCTGACGAAGCCTGTACTCAAGACAGGTTCTTTTCAAACAAAGGCCCGTTCCCATTTTCCCGACGGACCCTCTATGCCCTACCCCCCGCGTGAGCGAGGACGCAAGAATGCGGGGTAGGGGGTTGGTGGAAGGGAGAAGGGCGCGCACCCGAAAATCTCTTTTCCCTCCTCCCACTACACACGACTCACGGACACTCCAATTGCCCAAGGACGGGAGAACGTCGAAGGCCGCCATTTTCAACACGTCGGTCAAGCGACGTACAAGCAAACATTTTTTTTCTCTCTCTCTCTGTTTTCAATTTTCTTGGGGGCCTTTTTTTTAGTTCGCATTTGTTTTGTATTAGCAGGATGTAGCCATGGGTGACGTTCCGAGCGTGGTTCGTTCTTCGTTGTTCATCTGGAATGTTATCTTAAACAGCAACGACGATGGCATGAAGATGTCTGGATACTGCCCCTGAATGTGCTGTTTAAGTGGAACGCGCCGTGAATCAAGTGCGTCGTTGGGGATTTTGAGTTCGACATTGGCCTACCCAGAAAGTTTGGTTACGAGGAGACGCAGAGCGGAGGCTCGACATGTTCTCATTAACTCAGCTTTAGCGATTCAAGTGACTCTTTATACTGACTGCGAGACTCCGGTGTTGAAAGCTCGGCTTATACAACCTGTTAAGTTTGATTTAAGAGAAGAAAAAAAAGTGTTATTATTTGGAGTTGTTGCGTTTGGATAAAGGCTCATTTTTTTGCGCGAAGGCGAATTACGTGAATGGGACTTGTGAAATGTCAACAGATCATTTTTGACAAGATAGGTGGGTGAAGTAGAGTTAACACACTCGTTAACTCGCATTCTCACAACGCGTGAAGCTCCACCTTGTAATGTCTGAACGTTCAGGGCACATTAAGCAAATTCGCCGCTTTCGTCCGAGTTTTGTCAACACTTTCAGCCATGCTGGGCTGAGTCTCGCCGATCCCCAATACAAGCGAAATATCATCCGTCCTCCTGGCGAACATTCCGTTTGCCTTCGGGGACTAAATCATACAGATGCGCACCCTGTCTGAGAGGGACTAATGGCTGTTTTTGCTCGCGCACGCCTATCGGTTAGTCCCAGTCGAGCGCAGTCAGTCCCCAGGTTTTGCGCACGGTACCTAGCTTGAACCAGATGGTCCTTTCGGGGAGCAAATAGGAGTTCATTGGACCAAATGCTGCCGTTAGTCCTTTGAGGCCAACTTCTTTCTTAGAGTTTATATGCTAGCTTGCTGCGCCTTTGGTACAGAACCAGGTCAGAGAGGGTCAAAATACTCTTCCGCTTCCTGTCCGGCCAGGACGCAACTGCGAAGGGGAGGTGTACTTAACTTGCCATTATAAAACCAAATACTTCCAAGTAAAATGCAGGAAGAAAGCTCTGTGAGTGAGTATCCTTCACATCGTCTTCTCCGCGTATCGCTCGTCGCCTCGAAGCCGACCAGGCTACTTCGATTGAGCCTGGTTTGGCACGAAACCACGGTTAGAAGAACGGCTGCTTGTGAATATGATTTCGATTGCAGAGCTTTTTATTATTATTATTTTTTTTTGCCTCGTATGGAGTGTAAGAGCTGATGCAAATAGAAGTCTTGCGAGCGAAATCAGAAGCTAGAATATCTGGGCGACTTAGAATGCCATTTGAAGGGCAACTCCGCTCGATTTCGGAAATTTTGAGATAGTGGGTGATATAAACGTGAAAAGTACTTCCAAACAACCCTAGACCGTTTGTCTCATTAAAAGCAAAATATTTTTCATGCGATCTTGTTATTTACCATAATCGCAAACCGAAACTGAAACTTCGGCACAGCCGGGCCACATTGTACCCTCAACGTTAGTTGCATACGCACCCACGTGGAATACAAGGGGTCACGTGATCTACCAGCGGTAACCCAAGAAAGACGCAGATGCGAGGGGAAGGGCGAGGAGGGAATGGGAGGACGGGCCTAGCCGCGGCGGCGAACAGGCAACGCAAGCAGCGACAAAGCAGGCTATGTAGGCGGCAACCCAGGCGGCTAGTCTGTTGGCACCGGATGGCACGTATGTCAGCAAAACTCATCCCGTATAACTGTCTCTCCTTCTTCTTTTTACTCTTGCTCTCGTTCATTTTTTTTTCTTTGTCTGTCTCGCCTCTTTGCTTGTTCAGACGTGGAGCGCGTCCGTAGCGCCGCCTGGTAAGCTCTAACTGGAAAAGAAAATACCAAGAAAAAACTGCGTATGCAACAGACGTCAGCCACAGCGGAAATACAACGTTGGCTGCGCCGCACGTCGCCCGCTAAATTAGCAGATTTTGGCGACTTCGGCCAATTTAGTGATCTTTTAGGTGGTATTACGTTATAATATTTGACATTCGGTCTCTCTAGATGATACTAAAGAGGGTCGCAGTGTTTTTTAACGACCGAGAATGAAGCGGAGTTTCCCTTTAAGCAAACATTCTGGTTTGAATGATCACTCAGGCGGCTTTTATCGAAGCTTCTCATTATATTTTATTGCTGTATTTTCTGCTTTGCGGCACAAAAGAAAATATATTATTGAAGCCTAGACGGCACAGTCTTAGAAAACTATGTCACTTGATGCTCCGATTTAAAAAAAAGACGCATATTGGTGCTATATGTGGTATGAATAATTGCACAAACATTATTGATGCTGCCAGTTAACAGAGTAATTGATTTAATATCTAGCAATTCTCGTAACCCACCGCTGGTTTTATTTTTCTGCTTATCTATTGTCAGAAATCCCTTCCATTACAAAATGCCTTGAGAATCGTGATGAGGAAGCCATTGCAGGACTCCACTGCAATCTTGCTTTGGCCAGCAGAGCAATTGCCAAGGTATCATAACAGATGGAGACTTTCATTTATCCTGTTGCTGTCTAGTCCTGGACATCTTGCATGCAAATTTAAATAAAGCAATGCAATGCTGCGGCGTTTGAAGAATGGTTTCTAAATTCTGAAAACAAACGTAAATAAAATGTGAGCAACTGATTGCGATGAAAGAAATAGGCGGCAAAACTCTTAACGATCTGAAACTGTTAATAAACTGGTATTAGTGTCCGACGTGTGGACCGCGTTTCTACATTGCAAAGGAGTTTGTTTGTTTGTGTGTGGGGGGTGCGCGTGTGTGTCTGTGCGTGTGCGTGCCCGGAAGAGTTATTTTATCGAAGTGATATAGCAATAAGACCAATAGTTTGTCTTTAGACACCATAATAGACACAGATCGATTGATTCATTGATTACTTCCGATGTTGTTACTAATAATTTTTAACAATTTTGGACCGTCTGGACAGTGTTCGTGTAAGAAGTTGTTTGCTAAGATTTGATATCAAATGTAACTTCCCCAATGAGACGGCAGTAGACATCACAGTTATAAGAAATATAATTTAATTT